TTTAGTCTCTTTATTCACTTGATAAACGTTCAGAGGAAATACCAATTTTTTCCTGTTTAGTGGCCTCGGGTTTTTATGGAAATGGCGGTAGAAACCTAGTGACGCCAGTCTGTTACGGAACAAGTAATAATTCTCCCTAATTGTTAGAAGGGCTACAGGCACTATAGAAACCCCTTCGAGAAACAGTCTTGCAGGAAGTAATCAATCGTAATGCTCATGCTCGGGCGTATACACAGTGCCAGGTTGCAAGAGAACAGGATCGTGTGAGTATATGTTCGAACGCAAATGAAGGACCAATGTGAGTGGAATATTGACAGGCACGCCTGCACGTAATCGATGATTCAACGCCGCACAAGTTTAATGGAAGGCATACACATGACCTTTTTAATCCTTTGCAACTTCAGATGAGTTCATCCAATCACATTATAGTACAAGGTTATTGAGCGGATGCTTTCAAAACACCGGCGGAGAGAATGGAAGGCGATATAATTGAGGAGTGAAATGTAGGTGAGGACTAAATGACACGGAGCGGTAGTACCGCGTTGAGGCCACCAAGGTCTTGGTCGAACGTCACCTTGTTGACTGTCACGTAACCGTGGGCTTTAGTCGAGTCCTGTTGATTCCTTGTGAGGACTCAACATTGCGCATGCAACAGGACAGAAACCAAAACAATCACGTGACGAAGATCAAGAGTTGTCTGATACGAGAAAATATAACATCGTCATAAGGGTCAAACGGAAATGAGTGAAGTTTACGACGTAAGGAAACTGCCGGAGGTGGTGAATTAGTGAACCAGATGTGAAGTACGTGACCAGACTGGCATTATAGGTTAAGCACCATTTGTCTCAATACGCTGATTATCGAAATGAACAATCCGATCGCCATTCTTTCGGGGACTTACATTGTTTCATCCAATTTTACGTGACAGACGACTGAGATTGCTCTAACTGCGTTTACCCAATGATCCCTTACTCTTATGTGTTTCGTTATAACGGATCTCGCTCAACATCACCGTGATTGCTCTGACCACTTCTTGATGTGCTGACATACCTTCTACGTGACGGATTCGGATTTTAACGCTCAGACAGGACTGAATAATCTCGAATGAGAATCCAACGAATCGCATACTACTAAGAATCCCGCAAAGTGATTGGTGCTTCAGTCATCACATCACCCATTGGACCGGGTCTATCAAGACCTCGTCCAGTCGGAATAAACTGATTTCTCCATTCCCTTGCGCCTGTTCGCCGAGCTTGGCAATTTGTTTGCAAACGTTTCATCACCAGCCGAGGTGACATCACCAGTGCTGTGAAGCGGCAGTGTTCTGCCTGTACCCGTTGGTTTACATATGTGTTCTTCTCCACCCACTATTTTCGTCCCTTGTTCTCACTGTGTTCGATTCGGTCCGCCGTTGAACTGTTGCGAGCGGGTGTGGGTGAGAACGAGGAAGTTGTCCTTTCGTCCCGATTGCGGTTT